CTGGCAAACCATGTTCAGGTGAGTGATGGGGACAAGAAGAAAGAAAGAAAGAAAGAAAGAAAGAAAGAAAGAAAGAAAGAAAGAAAGAAAGAAAGAAAGAAAGAAAGAAAGAAAATGCCTACGCCGGCATAAGAGTCAGCCTTACCCAGCTAAAGCTGGGAATCCCTAAGTCTAGGGCTGTGGTGGAGAGCTGGGGTCCCGCCCAGCACCTTCCTTGGGTTCCGCCACACCCACCTGGGTTAGGTAGCGGATCTGAGCCGACAGCTCCGCCTCCACGTGCTGCACAGAAGCGGTGAAGGCTGCCGCCTGCCGGTCTAGCAGGCGCTCGTTGGTTTTTTCCTTGGACAGTTCCAGGATCGCCGTTCCTGCCAGGGCGGGGAGAGGGCGGCGTTAGGCGGAGGCTGGCCACGTAGCCCCGCCCCCAGGCCAGCACTCAGGTCCCGCCCACGCCGCGCGCGGACTCCCGCCCGGCCTTGGCTCCCTGAGCTCCGCTCCTCGCCTCCCGGACCTGCGTTCTGGAGGATGGCGCCGATTTCGCGCTCGATGTCCTCCAGGGCGCGCAGCCGCTCGTTCGCCAGGCTGTAGGTAGCCATGGTTCCCGTAGAAAGTCCCGCAGGACGTCTTTTTCGAGACGAGGCGCCAAGGCCCGGAAATGCCTGTTAGTGTGCGCCTGCGCAGAGGCCACTGTAGCGAACACTACAATTCCCAGGATGCTCAGCGCGGCCTCGCCCTTCCGGGTCCACCTGGTCTAGTATGACTTCCAGGGCCTCTAGGGCCAGGTTAGATCGTGGGGGTGGAAAGAGGCGGTATTGATGTTTTTGTTTTCTGGCAGGGTCTCGCTGGAGACCAGGCTGGGCAGGAACTCACAGAGATGGAGATACTCTAAAGAGACACTTGTGTCTCTTCATCCTGACGGTCAGACAACTGAAAGAATGGATCCCAAAGGAATGGGTATTTTCCTAGGACTCTCATGCTGGGGGAAGGAAAGGGCACCAGCCAGAGCGGGGACTTGTCTTCCAGAGGTTTTACACAGTTCTGATAACCTGCACACCACATTACAGAATGAGATTGAACCCGGGTAATGATGCGTCAGGGGTGGGTGTAACCACCCCTTGACTGGGACTACTTGGATGTACACATTCTTAGTCCTCTATAAATAACCTTGATGTTACTTCAGGACCGTGAAGGCTGACTGAAGGGGCTTGCTGGATCTCTGTGTCCCTCTTCCCGAGGTGGCCACATTGAGTAAGCCTCCTTTTTCGGCATTCCACTTTTAACTTGGCTGTTTTAATTGATTTATTGAGCAAGAGTGGCCAGACATGACATTCGCACAAGTTTTGCCCCTCACCCCAACCCATGCAAGTTGAATAACAAAGTCTCTGCCTCCCTAATGCTGGGAGTAAAGGTGTGAGCCACCACTGAAACAGGTCTGTGGCCCAAAAGCTGTTTGGGCCTGCCAGATTTAACTGACACTGTCTGATGGCATTATTGAATTTATAAGAATTTATTAAGCATTGGCCCTGTGCAGGTGAGGGCGGTGGAAATTCGAGTGTGTTCCTCCATACTGGATAGTCATGGGCTCTTTGCAGGCCAGTCTCTCCCAAGGGAAGCCTGATGGAGTGTTAAGCTATTCTCCCTAAGGCTCCTTCCTGATTCGGAGCCCAGGTGGTTCTCGGGTCCTGGCTCCTTTCTATCTCTGGTTATCAATTAGGTGCTGCTCTAGGGATATAAAGACAAACAAGATGGTCTCCCACTCCAGTGTTTTGTTAGTGCAGGTGCAAAGTTTTTTATTTTTTTTTTATTTTTAAGATTTATTTGTTTTATGAGTATGGGTGTTTGGCATGCACGTATGTCTGTGCACAGTGTGCATGCACTGTCCATGGAGATCAGAGAGAGCAGAGGATTCTCTAGAACCAGAGTAATAGGCAGTTCTGAGCCACCACGTGGGTGCTGGGAACCAGGGTCCTCTGAAAGAGCAGTCAGTGCTCTTAACCACTGAGCTTTCCCTTCAGTCCCAGGGAAAGGATTCTTGGAGGAAGTGGTGTTTGAACTGGTTTTTGTTTTGTTTTGTTTGTTTTTCGAGACAGGGTTTCTCTGTGTTGTTTTGGTGCCTGTCCTGGATCTCACTCTGGAGACCAGGCTGGCCTCAAACTCACAGAGATCCTCCTGGCTCTGCCTCCTGAGTGCTGGGATTAAAGGCGTACAGCCACCACACCTGGCCCTCTGTCATTTTTGCCCCTTCAACTTTATACCCAGGTGCCCACCAAGGTGGAAACCCTGTTTTCCATTTCCAACAAAGAAGTCTCCAAGACCTTGGGAGAAAAATTGGGGAACTCTTCATGCAAGTAAAATAAATGAAAAGAGCAACTGGGTGAGGTGGTCCACGCCTTTAATCCCAGCATTTAGGAGTTCAAAGGCAGCCTGGTTTACATAGCCAGTTCCAAGGCCAGCCAGGACTACATAGTGAGACCCTGTCTCAAGAAACAAACAAAATGACAAAGAGGAATGGAAAAACGGGGCATATTGTCACCTGCCTATGACCCTAGCCCTGGGCAGGTCAAGGCAGGAGGATCAGAATTTCAAGGTCATCCTCAGCTAAACAGTGAGCTCATGACCAGCTTGTGCTCAATGGAATTCTGTCTGCAAGAAAACCAAACAAGCCGGGCGGTGGTGGCGCACGCCTTTAATCCCAGCACTCAGGAGGCAGAGCCAGGCGGATCTCTGTGAGTTTGAGGCCAGCCTGGGCTACCAAGTGAGTCCCAGGAAAGGCGCAAAGCTACACAGAGAAACCCTGTCTCGAAAACCAAAAAAAAAGAAAAGAAAACCAAACAAACTAAAAACTACACTAAAAAGTGAAGAAATAAGTAGTGATGGTGCTAACCTTAACGCCAGGGGCCACAGACAGCAAAGTCAAGGCTAACCTAAAGATCCCAAATGCTGGCACTGTGGCTTAGAAGCTTTGTTTGGAACTCTGGGTTTTATCCTCAGCACGGAAAAGAAAAACAGCCAAAAGAGAAAGGGACGGGAACGAGTGTGGAAACATTAGATGATGGCTGGGGCCAGCGGCTGGTGGTGGTTGGCTCAGCAGTGAAGTGGTAACTAAACCAACAGTAAGTTCTAGGGAGCAGACTGCCCTTAAGTTAGTGGTCGTGATGTGACTTTGGGTAAAGCTAGTACCAAAATTCAGGGGCTTATTTGAAGTAATTAAACTACCAGATCTTGACTTCACACATCTTGGCAACTACCCCTTACCCCAGGAGAATACTCAAGTGTTTTTTCTTTTTTTAGATTAGACCCTCTGGGGGCCAGAGAGATGGCTCAGCAGTTAAAAGCACTGGCTGCTCTTCCAGAGAACCCGGGTTCATTTCCCAGCACCCACATGGCAGCTCACAACTACCTGTAATTCCAGTTCCAGGGGGTCTGCCCGATGCCCTCTTCTGGCCTCTGTGGACACACATTCACTCAAGCACACACACACACAAATAAACAAACAAACAAACAAACAAAAATTAGGATCTTGCTGTATACCTGGCTGGCCTGGGAAACACTACAGATCCAGCCGGCCTCAGAGATTCTTCTGTACTGTTTCTGCCTCCAAGTACTGGAGGTGCATGTGTGCTACCACACCTTGCCTCAGAGAGTTCTTTGTTGGAAATGGAAAGCAGGTCTTTTTGCTTGGTGGGTACCTGGGTAGAGTTGAGAAAAAAAAGCATGGCCCTGAAAACAAATGAAGTGAATGTTTATGTACTTGGTTATGGTTTCTACACTTGACAGCCAAATTTATAGTTTCCAGGTTCAAGATTCCAGGATGCTCCTTGGGAAACTTGATTACCCAGGGTTCTAACAAAATCCTTAGCCAGACAAGACCATGTTGAAATTCATTGCTGGTAAGTCCCGGTGTATACATGGAATAGTTAGTCAACTTCTTTTCACCTCAGGCTCTCCTGGAATTGGATATCCTCCTGCCTCAGCCTCTTGAGCACAGGGATTACAAATTCACACTACCACTTCACTTTTGAATATGACCAGACAGAAGAGGATTTCTAGATATTTGAAGAACTTTCTAGCATGAAAGCAATAAATACAGAGGAAAAACAAATCCTAGTGGGCTCAGATAAGAGATTTTGTATGTTCGATTGTTTTTGTTGAGACTGTGGCATATTCCTGTGGTCAGAGCTAACTTGAAAGACTGGGGTGTGAGGATCACTGGAGCCCTGGAGTCTGTGGGCTGCCTGGGCGACATAGCAGGAATGCCCCCATTTATTCTATTTTATTTATTTTCTGAGACAGTGTCTTGGTATGTTGCCTATGTTCCTTGTCTCTTCTTCCAAACAAACAAACAGGGTTGATTACAGAAGAATGGCATGGAAAACTACATCATGAAGATATGAAAAGATCATCATGGGCCGGGCAGTGGTAGCACACGCCTTTAATCCCAGCACTGCAGAGGCAGAGACAGAGGCAGGTGGGTCTCTGAATTCGAGGGCAGCCTGGACTGTATATCAAGTTTCAGGACAGCCAGGACTAAACAGAAAAACCCTGTCTCAAAAGGAAAAGAAAAACGTCCATCATGGGATGAAAGAGAAACTGAGGAACTCTGCATTCAGGTTAAGAAAATGAAAAGCTGGCCGGGCAGTGGTGGCGCATGCCTTTAATCCCAGCACTCGGGAGGCAGAGCCAGGCGGATCTCTGTGAGTTCGAGGCCAGCCTGGGCTACCAAGTGAGTTCCAGGAAAGGCGCAAAGCTACACAGAGAAACCCTGTCTCGAAAAACCAAAAAAAAAAAAAAAAAAAGAAAGAAAGAAAATGAAAAGCTGGTATGTAGCAGATGGAAATTTGAGCACCAGCCAGTTCCAGGCCTGTAACACGAATTGCTAAACGGTTTTTTAATTTAAAAAAACCCAGTACCAGATATTGGGGTAAATGCTGAAAGATCAGAGAGATAAAAGAACAAGCTACTGCCACCTCTTACATCTAGGAATCCTCAGCCTGAAAAGCTCCAGCCAAAAAAGCCTTTAGTTTCTGTCTCCTCACCCTTATATAACTTTCTCCGCCCAGTCATCACTTCCTGGGATTAAAGGCATGTATGCTTCCCAGTACTTGGATTAAAGGTGTGCACCACTACTGCCTGGCTCTGTTTTCTCTCCTAGACTGAGTCAATTACATGTAGTCCAGGGTGGCTTTGAACTCACAGAGATCCATATTTTGGATCTCTGCCTCCCAAGTGCTAGGATTAAAGGTGTGTGTCACCACTGTCTGGCCTCTATGTTTAATCTAGTGACTTGTTCTGTTCTCTGATCTTCAGGTAAGTTTTATTAGGGTACAAAATATATATTAGCACATTTTCCCTTTTTTGTCAAAAATAATAAAAGGTTATAACTGATGTAATAAAAACTATATATAATAAGTATATATAATATATATATATATATATATTATATATTACATTAACAATGTCCAGTCCATTAACATTTGACAAATCCAGAGAAAATACTCCATATTATATCCTATTTTGGTGAGTCCAAAGTGTTGTACTTAATTCACTTTTGTTTGTTTGTTTTTTCTTTTCTTTTTTTTTTTTT